CCTTTTTTTGTCCACAACATCCCCAACACTTGTTATTACCTGTCTTGTTGATACAGCCATTATAACAGATGTGAGGTCGTATCTCATAGTTTTGATTTGCATTTCCCTAATAGCTAGTGAAATTGAACATCTTTTTATATATCTCATGGCCATTTGTCTTTTTGAGAGAGGTGTCTGTTCAGGTCCTCTGCCCACTTTTAATTGGATCATTTGTTTGGAGTTGTATGAGTTCTTCATAAATTTTGGATATTAGCCCCTTGTCTGAGCTGCTGTTTGTAAATAACGTCTCCCATTCAGTTGGTTGCCTTTTTGTTTTTGTTGTCAGTTCCTTTTGCTGTGCAGAAACTTTAAATGGTCCTGGTTTTTTGGAGGTTTTTGATTACTGGTCCAGTCCCCTGTTGAGATTTTCTGTTTCTTCTTGAGTCACTTTTGGGTAACTAGAAATTTTTTTGTTTCATCTGGATTATCTAGTTTATTTTGGCATACAAATATTATATCTTATAAGCCTTTTAATTTCCATAAGGTTGGTAGTGGGTCTTTGTTTTCATTTCTGATTTTAGTTATTTTCAGATTGTTTCCTCCATCCTTAGCCACTCTAGCTAAAGGTTTGTCAATTTTGTTGATCTTTTCAGAGAACCAACTTTTGGTTTTGTTGATTGTTTTTCTCTTCTCCATGTTGTTTATCTCTGCTCTAATCTGTATTATTTCCTTCTGCTGGATTTGAGTTTGTTCTTTTTCTAGTTTTTTACAGTGTAAAGTTGATTTATTTTTTTTAAGGTAGCAGTCACAGATACAACTTTGCCTCTTGAGTACAGCATTCTGTTCACCCCATAATTTTGGCATGTTGTATTTTCTTTTTCGTTTGCCTCAAAAAAATTTATTTTTCCTAGTGATTTCCTCTTTGATTCATTGGTTGTTTAAACATGCATTGTTTAACTTCCATGTACTTGGGACTTTTCCAATATTCTTTCTATTACTGATTTCTAGCTTTATTCCATTGTGGTCAGAGAAGATACTTCATAAAATTTCAGTCTTTTTCAACTTGTTGAGGTTTTTGTGTAACATGGTCTGTCCTGAAGAATGTTCCATGAGAATAATGTATATTCTGCTGTTTTTGAGAGGGAAAAAAGAGTATTTTCTCTCTCTTAAATGCCTTCACCAACACTACAGGGGAAGCTGCTTTTGCCCTTGAAGGTTGAAAAAAAAAACAGCCATCTTCTGTGCTGACACCTCGGTGGATTGCCAGGCAGGTCAAATCATGCAGCCCCAATTTTTGGAGGACAAGGTTTCTATTGCCCACCTCTCACCAGCAAGTTGTACCTAGGAATATGGACTGCCATACCCATAACTTGCCTGTCATGGGGATAGGTGATGAATTATAACAGCCATCCGCTATGCAAAATGTCAGTATTAACCAAAAATTACCAGCCTCTTTCTCTAAGAAGTACTCCCATGGATGCTACAAGTATTTGACTAGACTCCATAATTCCAAAATGGTTTACAGACTGCACTTGTCAGCTCAGTAGTAGTTTTTGATGTTGCAAATAATGTATCAGTCTATTGTAGGGATGTGTGTGACCAGAGTTGGAGAATTTAAGTAAGAAGTTTCATTCAGTAAGTCATGTTATTTTGGTGAGCTGGAGTCTCTTTAAGACTGATCCCGCTTTCTGGAAGTACCTCTTCACCATCACCCACTTGTCCAGTAACTTCCAAACTGGTCTGCTTCCATTTATTTTCCATAGTTACAGGACAAATACTATTGAATGGTGGTTGCCATGGACTGGAGAAAATGAAAAGTTGTGGTTCAGCAGGTATAAAGTTTCAGTTAAACAAGATGATTAAGTTCTAGAGCTCTACTTTTCAATGTTTTGCTTGTAGTAATGATACCGTACTGTACACTTAAAAATTTAAGAGTTTAGATTTTGTTATATGTTTTTAATCACAATTTTTAAAAAATAATTGAAATGAAAACATTAACAAAAATGCTGGTGAAATATATCCATCCAACAATTAAGTTGTTGGTAAGCTTAAAAGAGAAAAACCGAAGGCAGCCTGATGGAAGAGGGTATAAGGATATAAGGAAGATGTGAGGCGACTGCTGGAAGAGGGTATAAGGATATAAGGAAGATGTGAGGCGACTGCTGGAAGAGGGTATAAGGATATAAGGAAGATTTGAGGCGACTGCTGGAAGAGTGCATCAAGATCAGGGGTGCTTTGAAAGTGCTTTGAAGACCAAATATGTAGGCAGGTTGAGCCAAGAGGAAATTTGGCATTAGTGGGCATCTTAAACTGTTCTTCCATGGCTTGCCCCCTTTTTTTTTTTTTTTTTTTTTTTTTTTTTACTATTACCTACATGTGGAAATAATAAACAGGCTAGGGAAAATTGTGTGAACCAATGTGATTTCCAGCTGTACTGACATGATTTTTATTGAGTGATTCCCTATAAAAGATGAGAGTATTAGTTTTTGTATTACCTTTAGTGCTTTTCTCTTTTCTCCACTCATTCTTCATCTCCCAGTTCTTGTTAGAATACTGTGTGATGCTGTGACTTAGAGTTGAGAAGTCTCCTAGGACTGTCCTGACTTATCTTGCCATACTTTAAAACGGTAGCCTTTTTTGGAACTATTAAAGTTAAAATTTGTTCTAGGACCATAGTAAAGTGTCACATACATTTATATGCTTAAGTGAATTTATTGTTTATCTCTTATCTTTTGTTACCACTGTTTCTGAGTTTGTTTTGATAGAGCAAAAGGTAAGTCTCTGTATGTCTTATAGTGCAGTAAATTTTTTTCTGTAAGTACAGTGAAACCTTTTGATCAAATTAGGTCTTCATGTCAGGAAATTTCTCCTATATCTTTCATTATATTTTTTCTTACTTAATCTGTTGTCCTTCTCAGAAATAGCAGTTAACTCTTAGGTCTATAAAAACTCATTTTTCTGTCCTGGCTGGTGTGGCTTAGTGGATTAAGCGATGACCTGTGAACCAAAGGGTCTCCAGTTCTACTCCCAGTTGAGGCACAGGCCTGGTTTGTGACCCAGGTCCCCAGTAGCGGGGAGGTGCATGAGAGCAACCACACATTGATATTTCTCTTCCTCTTTTTCTCCCTCCCTTCCCCTCTCTAAAAATAAATGCATAAAATATTTTTTAATCATTTTCTAACATTTGATTGCTGTCCTTTTTCTTTACATCTTGTTTAATGATTGGTTTTACTGCTTTGACTGTTCTGTTGTTGATTTATTTACTAGTCCTCCTGTTATAAAAGTGGTGTCTGTTTTTCTCTTTCCTTAACTCTGTAGGCTACCTTTTCATTTCAGTGTTAAATTTTTATCATAAGTTTTATTTTTCTTAACAATTTAAAGTAACCTTTTGAATATGTGGTTATAGTTTTGATGGTTTTGTTAGGCCGTGGAAAACTAATGGAGCTCCTTTTATTTTGTAGAAGGGGAGGCCTTTGACTTTTACCCTCCTCTGCTTCAGGATGAGCTAATCTATCACTTCGGAGGGCTGGGACATTATACATTGTGTGGTGATGGTGGTGGTGCTGAGGTTTGGAAGGAGATTGAATTATTTGTAGTCTTCTTAGTCCTGCTTTTTTTTTTTTTCTTCAATTTTAACTCTTTGTTTAGCCTTCATTTTGGATAAAGGACAAAATGTAGAACCTTGTCACTTTACTGATAAAGTACTGTTTGGCTACCTGGGAAGGGGAATTTTCACGTTTTCTGCCTTATCTGCATCTCTCTCCCGATCCTAAGTTGGTGGATGTCAGTGAAAATTGGTGGGTGGTATGCTACATATGGTTTCTAGGATTCATCTTCCATATGAATCTTAGCATCTGATGATACTTTTTAACAAAATTTCATGGTATGAGTTTGAGATCACTTCCTGGATTAGGGATATTTTTAAACTTTTTTAATTTTGTGTAGTTTTCAGGAGGAATATTTTTCTGCAAACCTACACCTATGCCACTATCTTCCCTGGGAGTCTTATAAAGACAAGGAAGAATTTTTAGGATTTAAAAAGGCATTATTCAAGCTGGAATAACATTTGCCTTCAGTCTAGCTCTGGATCAGTTCTGTGGGAAAATGTATACATTCAAAACTTTGGGCAATGTTGAAGGGTTTACTTCCTCTAGAATGCTCTTTAAATGGATAATACATGATTTTTCAAACTTTCTTATCTGGAACTTTTATACGGATGCAGACATTTTCCGAAGTTTCCTAAGACAGTGAAGATATAACTTCGGTATTCATAAGAAACTCTTGGGGAATTGTGCAGATTTGTGGACGGTCTTTCCAGAAAGTCTGATTCAATGTATTTCAGTAGGGTCTCAGAAATCTTTTTAGCTTACCCTGATACCAGCAGTCCACAGTTTCACTTTGAGTAATGCCACTATCTTAAGTGTTAAAATAATCAGATTTAGTTTTGAGATAGGTAATTTAGGTAACCTGGGCATCTCAGGATGTCCCAAGGGGCTGGATAGCTGATAGCTACTTCTCTCAGCTTCTAGGTGACCTATTACTCACCAGGATAGATGTTCCTTTCATTGTTTTCTCATAACCCCAAAGTTCAGTTCCCAAACTTTGGTATTTAATGGACTATATAAATCTTCATGCACTCCCTCCCACACACATATGCACAAATATTACATAGGTTTCCAATTTTTTATTTTGCTGAACGAGGACATTAAAAACAAATCAACAGTGGAAGAAAGGACATTATAACACTTCCTCTTACAAGTACCAAAGATATAAATAAATAAATAATGTAGGAAGAACACAAGCTTGTAATACAGTCCTTTAAACAATACATTTAGCTCTACGCAAAGCCCACGCATTTTCCTCTTTTTAAAAAAAAATTACTTACCTACAGATTAATGAGTGCTTCTTCATGGGTAACATTTAAGAACTGCTGCTTAAATGTACTTGGAACAGTACACTTACAAGAGGCACTACCTAAATATGAGTAGTCACATATCTCATATTCTCTGTTTTTTTAACAGTTCGGTCCTTTGGTACAGAAGACAGACCAACAGATCGTCCAATACCACCTCGAGATGAAGTATTTGAATACATTATATTCCGTGGAAGTGATATTAAAGACCTCACTGTTTGCGAACCACCAAAACCACAATGTTCTTTGCCTCAAGACCCAGCTATTGTTCAGGTAACCGATAGTAAATGTCTTGGAATTCAGATTAACTTAATGCCCGTGGTTAGCCTTGGTTTTTGCCCCTCCCAGGGTTTTGAGGTTTTTTAATTTTCTCAGTTGAATGTTCATTCAGCTTACCATTTTCTAGTTCCCTAGATACCTTAAAATACCTGGATAATGTTTTCATCTAGTTTTTTCTCTTTAGATCATAAAGGACTAAATAAAGAAAAGCTGAGGAGTTTATTGTTATCATAAAATATTTTCTTATTTCAAAAACAGTTAAAATAGCTAACATTTATTGAGGTCTAATTATATGAGAAGCACTAGTCAAACCACCGCACATATATCAATCCTCACAACACCCTCTGAAGTTGGTATTATAATTATTCTCAGTTTTTACAAGTAAGATTGCAGTAGAGCCACAATTTGAACATACTCCGGCAGGCAGTCTGGCTCTGGAATCCAGGGTCCATGCCGCTATATTAATTCTCATGTGATTGCTATTATAAACCAGGGTGGTGATAGCTACTCTTATGTAAGATTACTAGTTTAAGGGTAGTGGGAGGAGCTAAATCACATTATATTGTGCATTTTGGGAGGGGGGGTGTAATATACATGTGTTTTATAAGATAGCCAAACATAAAAAAATTTTAACATAGGTTCAATTCTTTAAATAAGGTATTAAAAAAGAAGGCTAAGTGTTCTCAGTAAATGAATTGTGTATTTTATTAAAAACAGTAGCATGTAATGTCCAAATGACTTTATGTTATGGATTAAAGAGGGTGTCCATTTTAGTACCTGTTTGCATTTTAATTGGAAGCATTAAAGAAATTGTCAAGGCTCAGAGAGCCAGCTCTCTCTCTCTTGGATTCTAGCACAGAAGACACACCCAGGATTCAGGTGTTATAGCAGAATATACACAGACTGCCCTTTGGCATTTGTGGTTTATAGAATATAACCTTTAATTTGTGCAGTCTTATTTTCTGTCATTGGTCTGTTTTTCCAGGTCAAGTGTAAACTTGTTGAAGGCAGGACCAGATAAATATAACATAACTTTTTAGCCTAATCTTATTTTATTTAATCTTCACAGCATCAAATGAATCGCTTAATGAGATTTAAGCCAAGAAATCTCAATATTAAAGTAGAATACTTGAAGTGTTTATGGATGAAGAAAATTGTTAGCTTTAACAGCAGAGGAAGCAGGTTCACATAAGAGAATTTTTATTTGAGGGCATAGCTGATTAAAAGCTTGTGGCGCCCTTAGTTTTCCTCTGAATCCATTTCCTCCTCAACCTTTTTCCTTGTTAGAAGTCTTTGCGCTAAAAATTTGCATTAAAATATGTCTACTGATTTATCAGTGTAATACTTTTAAATTAACTTTCCCTTTTTGGGCTGTGAGTTATAAAACCTTAGTTTTCCCCAAAACAGATTCTTAAAATAATATGCAGGGGACAGCACAAATAGCACCCTTTTATAATAACAAAATCATAAGCATGTAATTCTGTAACATAACAATATCACACTCAAGCACACCATATGACATTTTAGGTGAAATGTTCATGTTAAAACTATAAATTATTACACCCATATTATTACCCTGCCAACCATGCTCAAGAAGGCATTACTTCTGCCAGTTTCTGTATTATCTTGCATAGGCTTTGTCTTCTAGTTATTGAAAGAACATTCCTCATGAACTTTTCTAATATGAAATTAAAGCAGAAAAAAGGAAAAGGACATTTTAACATGTATTTACTCTTCATTTGTTAAATGAATATTAAAAAGATAAGCTTTTTAATAAGAAGTGGTGAATTTCATTGTTGTAACATAAAATGGAGAAATTCTTTAGTCTTATCTATCCTTTCTTTAAGTCTTACTTTTGAGAAAGTAAATCTGAAGGAATCCTGAGAAAACCTGAACTTTCTAAATGGAGGGAGAAGAGAAACATTCTAATAGAAATAGCTGCCTATACCAGCGATTTTCACCTTTGTGCCACAAGAATTTTTAAAACTTGTGATACCTGACTTTGTCAGGGTCACTGACCTCTTTTTCCTTAGATTGTCAAATTTAAAAATGACAAGCCAACACAACAATAGCTATCCAGTGTGAATGGATCAAAATTATACCTTTTTTTCCTTTTTGTCAGATGGGCAAAAAAATATTTTTGGTGTGCCACAAAATTTTAGTAATTAGTTAATATGTACCATGAGATGAAAAAGGTTGAAAAATCTCTGTTCTATACCAAAGAGTGGTGGTATCTGTCAGACAGACAGACAGACAGATGATAGATAGATAGATAGATAGATAGATAGATAGATAGATAGATAGATAGATAGATAGATAAATTCTCCAAGGAAGCAGTTATTTAAATAATCAGCTTTATAAAAAGAAAAATCAAGAGAGCACAGATCAGAGTGGTATTGAATAACTTTTTCTAACTATCATAAATTTTGAACTTTCACCTTTTGATTCACCCTTTTGGTTGTATTTCTTGAGCACCTGCTATGTGCTGATACTAGCAGTGAATACAGATACAAGGTCTTGACATCAGTGAGCTTGTATCCCAGTAGTTATTCATGCAGTTCATATTTATATTATAAAATATTTTACATTGATAAGCTAGTATGTAACTTTGTATATATACATATTAAATTATATTTCAGGTTCAGTAAGTTAAGATTTTTAAAATTCTTTAACTTAATGATAACTATATTTAAAAATGTAAATTTTGTGTGGAATAGTTTGTTTTTGCATCTCTTCCCTGTAAACTTATTTGATACCTCAAATAATCAAAAATAAGAGTAAAATCAAAAGTGAGATGTCTTATTTGTCAGCACCAGACTTAAAATTCATTATTGCTAATTATGATTTTTCTTACATATTTTTTAAGCAATTACCTTACTTGATACTCAAATAACTTTTCCTCAGTTCTTCCTAAATCTGCTACAAAATGCTTTATTAAAGGGAAGAGTTTATTGTAGAAAAAAAGTTTTTATAGATCACATTGAGTATAGTTGGCACATATAGAAAACCCTTGAAACAACGCAGAACTCAGAGGCACCAGCCCCCATACAGTCAAAAATCCACATGTAACTTTTGACTTCCCTAAAACTTAAGTACAGTTGTCCCTCCGATTGCACAGGGGTTTGGTTCCAGGACCACTTGTAGATACTAAAATCAATGGGTGCCAAGTCCTTTACATAAAAAGGCTTAGAAAAATACCTACAGTCAACCCTCTCCATTTGTGGTTTCAAGCAACCAGGGATATGGAGGGCCAACTATAATATTTATTGAAAAAAATGTGCATGTGAGCGGACCCCCACAGTTCAAATCTATGTTGTTCAAGGGCCAACTGTATATATAAATTGTGAAATTAGAAGGTTATTCAACAGTTGTAATGTTAAATGTATCTTGTAAGTTATAATTGCTTTTGTGTCTAGTAGTTAAAATTTAATAGTTCTCTTAAAAATGTAAATATCCAAATTTCTTTCCATTATACGTGTGTTGTTTAGAGCCTGGAAAAATAACCCATGGTTTTTCTTTAGTCTTCACTAGGCTCGTCTACTTCTTCATTCCAGTCAGTGGGTTCCTATGGACCTTTTGGCAGGATGTCGACTTACAGTCAGTTCAGTCCAAGTTCATTAGTTGGGCAGCAGTTTGGTGCTGTTGGTGTTGGTACGTTTAGCTTTTTTCTTTCTTTCTTTTTTTTTTCTTACCACAAATTTTCAGACATCATGTTTGATGTTCCTTTATATTAAAGCCTATTGTATTAAAGTCTTCATTTAATGTCCTTATTGACTAGTGGTCCTAAAATGGTCATTTTTTGGCCCTGGCCAGGTAGCTGGGTTGGTTTGAGCATCTTCCTGATATACCAGGTTTGCAACCAATGAATGCATAAATAAGTGGAATAACAAAATTGGTGTTTCTCTTTCAAATCAATAAGTAAAATGGTCATCTCTCAGAATAATCACTTTTAAAAAAAAACAACCTAGATATATCCAATTACCAAATTTCACTGAATGTTATTTTAAGTTTATATAAGATATATACATTTAAAATAAGTATTTTTCCAACAGGGTGGGTTTTCAAAAGGGTGATTGGAGATAATGCCATTAAGGAGTATTTATATTATTTTGAATGTAGCAATTATCCCATTTAACACCACTTATGAGAGAATCTCACATATAACAAGCACATTTGGGGGCTTGATGCTTTGTTTATACTAACAGTGTTTTAGAAATATTATATTGTAAGGAAAAGAGTACTATAAGATGGACTAATAACAGTCCTACTTATGTTTGGTGGACCAAGACTATTCATTGCATGCAAAAGGTAGATGTAATCAGACCAACTCAGTGTTGTTTTGTTTTTATAGCTCTGCATTTTGTTCTTACGTACACCTGTATTAAAAGTCCCACAGTGGGCTTTTTAGATGTCATACTCTAGCCCTTAATCTTTTTTAAGTTTCATTGAAATAACCATTTATCAGTTTAATAAGTTTACTTTGTCTCACTGAATCACAAATCCAGTTTCAAATGTATCTTAGTATGCTAACAAGTTATATTGAAATTAATACCTTTTTTATATAGTTCTAATTTTTCCAGTATGTAAATGTTTGACTTATTCACAAAATAAAAAAGGATAGTGATTCAATGTTGTGAAACACAGAGAGACTTGTGGAGACAAGAGAGAAATAGCATTCAAATATAATAATTTAATTGGATCTGGATTTTTGTAAAAAGTTGATATAAAGAACGTCATAGGGACTACTGAGAAACTGAGCACAGACTGAATGTTAGATGGTGTTATTGTTGATTTTCTTAGATGTGTGTTGTGGTGGTGTGGTTAACCATATAAGAGAATGTTTTTGTTTTGGAGCGATGGTTTTGAAGTTTTGTTTTGTTTTTTAAGATTTTATTTATTTATTTATTTTTCAAGAGGGGAAGGGAGGGAGAAAGAAAGGAAAAGAAATACCAGTGTGTGGTTGCCTCTTGCACAGAGGACCTGGCCCACAACCCACGCATGTGCCCTGACTGGGAATGAAACCTGCAACCCAAAGGGTCACAGGCTGGCACTCAATCCACTGAGCAACACCAGGAGGGCAGTTTTGAAGTATTTAAGGGTACTTGTGCTCTATCTAGACAAAAGAGAAATGTGTACTTCAATATAAATAAATGAAGAAGCAGAATAGGCCTGGCAAGATGTTTGCGGTCAGTGAATCTAGATAAGGATTATATCAGTATTCAAGTGTACACTTGCAATTTTGACATAGGTTTGACATTTTTCAAAATTAAAAACTAAATATTTAATTCCTTTTAGATTTATTCTTGGATAGGTGAAATAATATAACTTTGGTTCGTGTACTTCCCAAACCTATTTAAGTAGTAAGACCAATGTTAATTACACATGTTAAATCTGTATATACCCTATGTTAGCTATAACTACTAAAATCCTATTCTTAGGATTCAAATAAGAGATGGTTGCAAATTATATTAGCCTTTTGAAATTCCTTTCACTAAGTTGAATAGTTGGCTAATGCTGGAATTACTATTATATTGGATTGGCCAAAAAGTTCATTTAGTTTTTTTCCATACAGTGGCTCTAGTTGTCTCTAACTTCATTTGAAACAATTCTGTTATATTGTATTGTGACAGCTGTCATATCAGCATGCATTTTTTTTTTCTAAAAACTTACCAAAATTGGTGAATTTTTGTGCAGCCATTTTAATACTGAAGATGGAAGAAAATACACAGCATTTTCTGTGCATTATGCTTTATTTCAAGAAAGATAAAAATGCAACTGAAACACAAAAAGATTTGTGCAGTTTATAGAGAAGGTGCTGTGACTGATCAGACCTGTCAAAAGCAGTTTGCAAAGTTTCTTGGTACTATTGACATATGACCAAATGATTTTTTGCTGTGGGGCTATCATGCATTGGGAGATGTTTAGCAGCACCCCAGCCTCTACCTACTAGAAGCCAGTAGCGGGAGATAGCCGACATATTCAAAATATCCAAATCAATAAAGTTATTAGTAAAAACTAAAAATGTGTCTTTTATTTTATGGAAAAAACTAATCAGGCTTTTCAGCCAAAGCAATACTTACCTTCTACACTACTGTGAAGTTTGCATTACTTAATACATATATATGTAGAAAAGCATTTGAACAGGGTCTAGCACATTGTGTCTACATAGTAAATACTGCTCAGCCTTTCTTCAGAGGCTGCCCCTCTAATCAGAGTATTTTGTGGTGGTGAAATATATGTTCCTTGTGAATGACTTTATTTTTAATATTTTTAGGAGTTACTGGTTTAGTATTCTTTAGGTATCACAAAGGCAGAGGATTTTAGTTGTGCTTTTCATGTTAATAGGGTAATTTTGCAGTGGTGGGTTCTTTTTAGATTATTTTATTTCAGTATTGATAGGATAATTTGTGGAGTAGCTAATTTGAAAATATATATATAAAAGTTGTTAAATGAAGAGGAAGAAAACTGTAGTGTTGATTAAGGTGACAGATGTTTCATAGAAAAGGATTTAACTCAAATACAGTCAAATACAAATTAAGCCAGATTTTAAACCATGTAAGAGACATGGTTTTCATTTTTGGTCCCTAGTATTCTGATTTTTTTAATTTATTGATTTGAAGGGGGAGGTGGAGAGAAACATTTATTTGTTGTTGCACTTATTTATGCATTCATTGGATGAATTCTTGTATATGCCCTGACCAGGGATCAAATCTATAACATTGGCCTATTGGGATGATGTTCTAATCAACTGACCTACCCAGCCAGGCCTAGTATTCTGATTTTAAATGGAAGTTTAAATAAATCAGGATTATACTATTTCTCTTTTATTAGGAAAAGTTTTTTTCCACTTTAATTTTCATATGTTGTTATAGTCTTTTTACAGTTTTATTTGCAATTTATGTCATGAAGGATTAATATCCTTATAGAGCTTTCAAAAATAAAGGTCTGCAACCCAACAGAAAAATAGGCAAGGGTTAAGAACTAACTTTGCCTTTGTCAGAAAAAAAGAAATACAAATGGCCCTTAAACATGGAAAGGTGATTAAATCTTGCTTAATAAGAGAGATACAAATTAAATCTACATCAAGATACCATTTTTCACTATCAACATGACAAAATCCAAAAGTTTGAGTATATTCTCTTTCAGCAAGATGATGGGTAAACAGAGACTATCATACATTGAAAGGATGTACCAGAGGGAATTAAAGCACTGTTTATTTTAAGCCAAAATAAGTGTTATATCCAAATATTAGGTCATTATTGACCTTAATAATTTATGGATGCTTAAGAAAAATTATCTCTTAATGTATCAAGCAGCAAAGCAACCATGGCATGCTAAGTCTCAATACTGTTAGGGGCAAGATGAAGGAGTATTGGCTGAACAGACTGACAGATGGGTATATTTTATCTGGTTAAATAGTCAAATCATACTGCACGATGATTCTTTTAGGTCTCCAGTGTTTTGTACAAGTTAATTTTTAATCACTGAGTTTGATAAATACTTAGAAGGCATGTTTATGAATTTTACACTTAACATAAAACCAGGAGGGTAGTTCATGCGTTATGGGTGACAAACTAAAGGATTATTAAAGATTTTGGTGGCCCTGGCCAGGTATCTCAGTTGGTTGGAGCATCATCCTGATATGCCAAGGTTGCAGATTCATCCTGTCATCAGGGCACATAAAAGAATCAGCCGATGAATGCATAAAGAAGTGGAACAACAAATCAATGTATCTCCCTCTCTTTTCTTCTTCTCTCTCTAAAATCAATAAATTTTTAAAAGCTTTTTAAAAATGTACTTTGGTGAAGGGTAAAGGAATTAAATATTCTAGTTAAAAGGCAGAGGTTATCAAACTGAATTTTTTTTTAAAAAAATCAGGCTATATGCTGCTTATAAGAGATGCACTGTTTGTAAGAAATACAGAAAGTAAAAAATACAGACATGACGTACCATACAAACACTGATGACAAGAAAACTATGTTAGAGAAATGATTGGACAAAAAATTTTAAAGATCAGGAGCACTATCAGAGATAGAGGGATTCTTCATAATGGCGCAGGGAGTAGTTCATCAGGAAGCTGTAACAATCCTAAATGTGTGTTTAACTTTTATAAAAATAAAACACCCAACTTTTGCAGAAAATAGTTTCTTTTCAAATAAAAATAGTTTAGTCAGTGGGATAGATCAATTCCTGATCCATAAAATGTTACATTAAATTCAGAAGGATTAAAGGCATACAAAGTCTGTCCTGAGAGTATCCATCCATGTCCAATGAAAAATAGAGGCATTTATTGAAGAAGGTACAAAATACAAAAAACATTGTACATAGGACAGTAACACTTCGGTCCCCTTCAAAGTAGGCATCTTGGGACCTCACCCAGTTCTCAGTCTCCATCAGCAGCCTGGTCATATTTTCCTGAATCTCATCAACATTGTGAAATATGTTCCCTTTCAAAGGTGATTTTAGTTTTGGGGAAAGCCAGAAGTCACAGGGCACCAAATCTGGCTGTAGGGGGGCTGAGTCACCTGGGTAATTAGATGTTTCGCCAAAAGACTTGATGAGACGTGATGCATGAGCAGGCACATTCTCATGATGAAGGTGCCAGTCATCAGTTGCCCATAGCTGTGGCTTTCTGAATCATCAGAATAGTT